AAAAAAAAAAAAAGGATAAACTGCCAATATAATTAGTTTGGCAGCAAGCATGCTACGTATAACCACATAAATTACTGTAACTGTTTATTCAACAGTGAATACTGCATTTATCATAAGGTGTAAAGATCATTACTTAAATAGTAACGGAGTGCATTTCAATTAATAATTATACCAAAGACAGTTATAACTAGCTCCCTTTTTAAAAATAAAAACAATAAAATTAAGAAAAGAAAATTAATTAATAAGTTTGAAATTACAAATGAAGACTCGGATAATAATTCCCTTCCACGCCATTGCAGATAACTGTTATCTTGTCTGGTGGTTTTTTGCTTTCAAGCCGCTCTGCAGGACTGTAGACATCATTATAGATGCAAATCAACATTAGAATACGCAACTGCCGTCTTTCGTCTATCATCGAACATACATTTACACTTCCCAGTACATTTCTCATCTAATACCATCAATTTCCTCCACCCCAATCAGCCCCCATTACTAAACTAGAAAACATGATTAACCATCCTAAGTCAAGCACAAGGAAGGAGGGCAAGCACCTAAGATATAGTTGCTGATTATCCAAAGCCAATAGTTCAGATGACGGTTTAGCTCTGCACTCAGGGCAGAAGTACTCCGTACTTTTCAGATCCTACAAGCCACATTATATGTCAAATGCTACATACCATAATTTCAGGCCAATAAAAGAGGAATAGCATGAAATCCATCTTAATATATTAGATCTGTCATCAAACCTTCAAAAGCTTAGATGAAATGTTGGCACACTTAGTATGGATCCAAACATCACAACCATCACAACATACCTGACCACAATATTTTAGACAAAAAAAAAAGAGAGAATAAGTCAATACTTAAGTCGGTACTCCATATAACACGCACGTGTGTGCATACGAATAGGAGAAGGAGAAGGAGGAGGAGGAGGAGGACATGAGCATCCCAGACTATCTCACCCAACTGCCACCATTTGAATGATGCCAAATTTGCTTGCAAATACCACAAAATTGATTGGATTTTCTTAACTACAAAAATTACCACTTCAAAGTTAGAAAATGTCAAATATTAATGTAAAACCATTGCAGAGATGAGCAGAAAGAAAAAAACAATCTTTATACTCACCGTAATACAATGCTCACACAGAAAAAGGGCCTTGGTTGTTGCATTCTTAATTTTTTTCAACATTCTAGATGGAAATATCAAACCACAGCAGCCACAAGTTCGGGTCTCTTTTTTTTTACTAGGCATCTCCTGTAACAAGGAAGCAAAATGAAATTGGCTAACTCTTCAAAAGAAAATTGAATGAGGAGGAAAGTCTTTGGAGTTGCAAACTCAGGCAGCCCTCTTATAAGGTAGTAATATAGATTTTCGTATGCCGGATGCAAATAGACCAATTTCACCTTAGTCGTCTCCAAGTCCCACAAGTTCTTTGTTACATGAAATACAAAAACACAGATTACATAACTTAAAGTGTCACTAGATCTTGAGTAGAAAATCCAATGAACTTGTAACATTAATGCCAATCGATTCGATTTGTTCGATTCTTTTCTTTCATTTCCTATATTCTTTTTCAATAGTAGGCTAGTTAGCGAAGGTTGAGACTTGCCTGATCAACATTACATTCAGACTCCTGATTCGAACCAGTTGCTTCTTCAACATCCCCGTGATCTGGCACAGGTAATGTTTCCTGCCTGGTTCCCATGTCCGAATTATCGTAGCCATTTTCTACTAAAACTGCCTCCTCTATAGCCCTAAGGAAATCGCTTGGCTTACTACCATGCAACTTGGTCTGCCCCTGAAATCTAACATCAAACAACCTTTATCCAACTTCCCTCACTTAGCACGCGATAAGACAAACATAATTTATTCACCTGTCCATGTACTCATGTAACGGAAAAACCATTCCAGCTTTTATCCACCCATAATCCTACGCATAAAAGAATTTTTACATTATCTTTACTACTTTCTGTTGATGAGTAGTATTACTTACAAACAATATTATAAATATGTAAAATTGCAAGAACTAGAGTACCAAGTGCTGGAAAAAAATATAAGTATATAAAAAATACCCTTTGTCCACTTCTGGAGTACCCATAAAACATCACACAAAGAGTGCCGGGAACACAAGCTCTCAGTACAGGCTCAGGAGCTTGCCAGAGGGGGTCAATCACAACTGCAGGCCAAGCAGGAAAATGCTTCCCACATTTCGCCCAGACTACATCTCCCGTAGCAAAATCACTGGGCTCATAAAAATCAGCCTTTTTCTCAACTACTTTCTTCTTCACGGGCCTCATCGGTCCTGCATGCCCATTCAGCTTCCCAACTCTATCCATCATTGGAGAAGAGGAACTTCCTTCATTTATGGACGTCGCTGAATTGAGGGAACTCGGATATGGCTCAGAAGTAATGCTTTTCAACTGGAAGTTACCATACTGCTTTTCTGTCCGTGGTTTCTTCACCAAGTATATGTCCCCGTAGGATGCAGACGCCTCCTTCCGCTTCAACTTCTTGTTATCCTGAACGCATTCATCATTATCATCCACACAGCTCTTCGGATCATCACCACACTCTGACTTTTCTTTCTTCCACGAGTGCAAAACCGAGTCGCTGAATTTCATGGGGAGCGCCTGCTTGCGCCCTCTGGAGGACTTCAACAATGGAGGCTTATTTTCAGCAGCCTCGCGAACCGTGGAGTCCCCTCCAGCATTGAAGGATCGGACTCCAGTCGCCGCCCAACAGTTTGAAAAACCAGCACCGCTCGCCTCGATTTGAGCGACAGGAACCGTAAAACACTGATCGGTCGTCTTCTGCATCATCACGGGATTTCTAGCGACGACGCGTGATTGCTCAAATCCGTCGCTATTCCCAATTCCTGAATCCGCCGCTGAGCTGCAACGCTTGAGTTTCGGCATCCCAACTTTCCTTGGCGGTGGTTCACCAATCATCTCTCGTCATAAGTCAATCAAATTCGCCCATCGATGGGAAGAAACCCTAATTCAACGAAGAACAAGTGAAAACCGACCCACTCTGAGAATTGCAGGGTCACGAAACAAAACGGGAAACCCTCCGATTCACGAAAACTACAGCAAGAACCCTAAGAATCCTTGTACAGAAATCGAAAGGGAAGATAAACACTGAAGATGAAATTGAGAGAATTTTACAAGGAAACGAGTTGCCGATCAAATTCTCAACTGTCAAAAAAAAAAAAAA